TTACTCTTTTACTTTTAAAGTAAATTTGGTCAAAAAAAAATTGTTTTGGTTTAAACTCTTCACATTTATATAAAAATTACCGAATTTGGCGGTTTTTGGCTCAAAATTTATTTTAACGCTTGAGGAAAGTATGTTGTCGTTTAAGACTTTTTTTTAAAACTCCAATAATGACCACAAAATTTTTTTTTAAGTCATAAGTTTTAATTGGCCTGAAAGAGGACTCTCCACAGCTGCTAGAACACTTATCAAAAATATTGCTCTAATAATCTACTCTAGATGCTAAATTTGGGTATTCATATGCGAGTCTTTGAGTCATAATTCTTTCAATTAAGCAGTAATATTGTTAAATACCACAAATACAAGTAGAAGAGACCATTAAAAAATGTTTCTCGTTTCTCATTAGGTTTTTATCCGTTTTTCTCAAATTGCTTCAAATTGTAATTCAATAATAAGACTATATCTTCTAAGTGCGCGACAAATAAGAAAATTGTTGTTATTTTAAAAACTAAAACATCAAACACTTTTCGCTTACCACACGACAATCTAAAAATCAACCACTAACTTTATAAATTATAACACTTTGAAACGCAACGTCAATTTCTCTAAATTTAATGTCTATAATTAATGCGTCTGTAAATGGCAAGTTTGATGGAAATAGTGTGACATTCAACCCTTACGAAACCTATTACGGAAACTATCAAAAAGTGGTAAGAAATTTAATTGGCGTTAAGAAAGCGTGAAGCATAAGTATGTGGAAGTAAAGCACAAACATACTTAACATACATATGTAGCTTTATAGAAATACACGGTTGTGAGTCATTAACTACAAATTAGCTGGCAGTGAACTTAAAAGCTACGGTATTTTGAAGTAAAACATTTATTAATAATTTTTTTTTCTTAAAGAATATAAGAGAAATTCTGGAATACAACCTCCATTTGCAGTCGGTTTGAACGCAGCAATGCCTTCAACATATGGGAATTCAAATAAATAGTTATTGTGCATAGTTTCCTCACACTAATGTCATATATAGCTTTCCATTGAAGCTTATTTTCTCAACCCATATCATTTGCATATTTTTACCATATATGTTTGTATGTGAAATTCCTTCAATTGCAAAAGATCAAAGCCAAACTTTCTGCGTCTTAACACTTTCTTATAGCACTGTATTCGTCCATGTGGCTCGCAACAGTTTTCTTAAGTAAATTGAAATTTGTGGTCGACAAGTAATTAATAGTTTGTTCACACAACTTTGGGAAATGCCACACATTCTCGTTAGCAAATTGACATTTCCCATGCGATTTCAAGACTAAGCTTGTTCGAAACTTCTGGCAAATTTGAAGAAATTCTAAATATATTTGTGTATACAATATACCGATAAACAATATATATATTGCATACTCGTATAAGAGCAGACCAGTTAAAGAAGCGGTTGTATTTTAGTGTGTGTTAAGAAGAAACTTTAAGCTTTCACTTGTCCCCGCAAAATATCAAACTTTCGTTTATATGTCTAGTATGACAAAGCTCTTCAACAATTCCTTGAGATTTTTGCAGTTGGCTCGCAACTGGCAGTTCTATAAATTTCTCGAATAAACTTAGCCCGTCAAGAAGAATTAAAGAAGGTCTGCTTGTGAAATATGGACTGCTAAATTGCAAAGTGACAACTGTTTAATTAGAATAACTAAGTATAACAACATTTCACCTAATTCATTGAATCCCAAGGTAAGCAGTGAATCTCGTAAAGTTCTTCGACCTTAAAATAACTCTAGTGGGATATAACATAATGTGATATAAGCTAACAATTCACGATAGATCTAGGGTTCACGATAGTGAATACCTTGTGATTTGAAAAATATCTTTGCTTACCCTAACCCCTCTTATTTCCCGACTTCAAATTTCTTGGAAGATATATATGTATGTACAAGATTTCAAGATTCTTTACGCTGCGAAAGAGATATTCGAAATTAAAGAAGAAAGAGCAGGGAAAAGTTTCCATGACAATCGGGCCTGCATATTCATAACGATCTCAGATTATTCGGCCCTATTGACATCCTCTTTCTTATTATTAGTCTACTACTTCTATTTCTCCTGTTTCAAAATTTAACAAAGTAGAATAAGGAAGGAAGGAAGAAAGTTTTGTTTTATAGAACTTGAAAGGCATAATACAAGTATTTAGAACTGGCAAAAAAACTAAAATTAGTTGTTTTGAGTTCTTCTTCTTGTTTGACTCACTAGTTCAAAAGAAAATTAGTGTCAAGTCCTTTTTATACCCTGAATAGGGTATATTAAGTTTGCAACGAAGCTTATAACACCCAGAGAGAAGCGTCGGAGGCCCGATCAAATGTGTATGTAAATGATCAGCGTGACGACCTGAATCGATTTATATTATATTATACATATACGTCTGCCTCTCCGTCTGTCTGTCTGCAACGCGAACTACCTCTTTATTTTTTTTAAATATCGATCTGAAATTTTTGCACACCTTTTTTTTCTTCATAAAATCGATTATTTGTTGGAACCGCCCATATCGGCCCATTAAAGGGTATAGCTGCCATATAAACTGGTCAGTCAAAATCAAGTTCTTTTATGAAAATCTTTTTTATTTGACAAGACATCTTAATGAAATGATAAGTGGAATATTGTCAAAGGTGCCGCTCCAAATTCGAAAGAAATGACTCAGATTGGACTACTATACAATATAGCTGATATACAAACTGATCGGTCAAACGCAAGTCCTTTTGTGGTACATTTTTTGACAAGATATCTTCACAAAATTTGGTTAAGATTAATGTCTAATACCATGTTCCGGCCAACACTTAATCACGAAATTGTGGGTGTTGAGTAGATTATCTCACTAATCTACTAGATTTAACAAGATTTTGCCAAACAAAATTCCCAGCGTATTGCTGTACTAAGGCTCAGTTGAGTTTTCAATATATTACCATCAACATCTGCTCCCCGCTACATTCTTTTTTATCACATGAAAATTTACAATCAGCCGCATAAAGGATATTATATCTGCTTCTAACTACTTAAGCTCTCTCTCAAAATGTAGTCATGCAGTTGTCTCTTTTTAGTTCCCCTAGGTCTCCCGACACTTTCAAGTAACTTGATTACCAAAAATGGTTACTGAAGTCAAGTTTAATTATTTTTAATCACTTATTTATGATGATTACCAATTTGGCCAATGCAAAAAACGACTTACCAACGTATTTTTGCAAAATTTCGTTTGACGAAGAAACCGAAAACTGAATGCTTAGCATCTTGTCGACTAACAGCAAACCATTGACCATTTTCTGTGTTACTTCGAACAAAACTTTGCGCCAAAGCGCTTTTGAAAAGTTTCTTAGCGCCCTTAAAGTACAATTAAAATGCAATTTACTGCGAACTTGAGAGCAGGCGTTTGTTTTCTGAATGAAAAAGGAAGAGAAACAAGGCAGCTGAGCACATCAGCCGGTTTGAAAAATTTCACTAAGCGCTGGACAGCAAGTGTCATGCACAACCATTGTAGCTTGGTGCTACAATTTACTTTTGCATTTTCGCACTGCGATTTCCACACTATCTCTCTTCCCAAGCACCCTATACCTTTGCTAAACTTCATTCTTATTAATTTAAATTTCAACCACTCTCTCTCTATGTATTTTGGCACTAATTTGCATAACCCAAAGTAAACCCTTTCACGTTGAGTGGCTGCTAGCCGCCTCTTAACTTGGCCAATTTCCATAATTTACCATTTTATGTATTAGCCATTGCGAGTCTTAACAGCTAATATCCGTTTGTTAACTTTTGTAAGAGAAAAATACAATACAATAAAGTGAAGAAAAAAATACTCTTTGCAGCATTTCATTAACACCCAATGTAGCTTATAGTGCCAAGGCGCTCATTTGCAAAACGAAAACTCGCCACTTTGCATTTGCAATATTTGTTGTTGCTCGCCAGCGCACTTAAGTTGCAATTCTACATTTACTGTTACGCATGTATGTGTGTGTCGTGAAAATTTGAAAATGGCAAACTATACTGTAAACTTTGTCGGGGATTAAAGTGCAAATATTGCCCCTCAGTGTGTGACTCGCCATGGCGTATGCGTAACATAGCTGAAATACCAAATGCCAGTTACCGATTGCCAACTGCACTTGATGGCCTCAAATAGCTGCCTTTACACTACATTTCTTGCATTGCAACCCACACTAGTTCCTAAGAAATGTTTACAATAGCCGCATTGTGTTTGAAATGAAATTTTTGTTACTCCCCCCTGGACTGTAGTTTGTAGAAATTCATATCAAGCTCTATATTTGTTTGTTACTTATTGGCGCTCTTTGCTGCATTGTATTTGTTTACCAGTTAGTTTGTAAAGGTACTTTTGGGTGTTTGAAAAGTTTCAGCTCGTATTTGCATAAATTTCTGTTTGGCACTTTTTATAATCACCTTTGGTCTCACACAGTAACTTGATATTGAAATGAACTTTTTGCACTCTGCTCTTGGCACTTGGACGTTCTTTCACGGTTGGTTGTTGGTGGTTATATATACCTTCTTTAGGTTGTTGAATACATGCAAGAAAGGTGTCTTATAATCTTTGTTGAAACTGAATATTCTGTGGAGGCATTTAGAGTAAAGACTGTTGCCATGTAAGACAGTAGAGATATAGGTATGTTACATACCTAGGCCTGGTTGAAATATATAATTCCCAAGAATCTCATTTTTGCTTGTCTATTATTTTAGCTATTGGAGTACATTCTGCATTTCATCGCTCTTATACACAAAAACTTCCAAATCTATGGTTACGAACCCCATTTGTTATTTTGACCTGAGAGCAGTTAAGCCTAGAGAATATTTTAGCAGAAACACTAACAAGTGGATAATATTATCTATGTTTAAAAAGCACTCTAACCACATATCTTAAAGACTAGGTAGCACGGAAACTTAACACGATCCTCAAAATTTTTCTTTGAAACACTATAAAATTAAAAGTCCGAAAAATCGTTTATAATAAATACAAATAATGTTATTATTGAACTTTCAACAACTTTTTTCACAATGAGTTGTATGAACTAATTTTATTAATAAGAACTTCTTGGTTCCTATCTAAATGCTTATCTTTCTCTGTTTTGTGATTCAGTAAACGCTTTAACTTTCACTCTGCTGTCAAAGTTTTTTTTATACTCCACTGCCCTTATAAGTTAACATCTTGCAACTCCAATTTCTTTTCCAACGCATCGACCATCTTGCCGTTATGCTTGATGGTTCGCAGCCATTGCACGTACTCCGCGGGCAAACATGTCTCCAAAGCACCTTTCACAATAGTTTTCATATACGTTTTTGATGGCTGACGATCGTAGGGTATCTCTTCGGGTTTTAAACATCTTACATCACCTGTTGGTTGATTTGTTAAATGATAGGCGCGACACTCTATAAACTTGCCGCTTTTAAGCTCCAGTACTGGCATTGTGATCGGCACATAAATGCCATAGGAAACACCCTCTTGACTGTAAGATAGTATGAGTTTAGAATCGGTTTGTTAAAAAAAAATATACTCACTCATCTAAATCTTTTAAATTGCTATTATCAATCTCCCAAATGGCGCCAAAAACACAGGCACCCGGTTTGGGTACTATGGTAGCGGGCGCGCCGTACCAAGTACGGGAACTGGTATAGAAGTCGAGTTGGTAATTCTGTAAAATTAAGCATTAGGTTACTAATGAGGTTATTAAAGTTCTATATATTTTACTTCCAGCTTCCCAGGTCCTATGCGTACTGCCGTAGGATTTTGTATGTGTATTCTCTTGGCTAGAAGATTGCTGCCAAAACCAAAGTAGTAAAACTTGGAAGACATCTGAAAAGCGAAAGATTTTTTGCTTGCATTTAAAATGTGTTATCATGTTATTATTGGGTTTAAATTTGTTATAAAGTTAGTTTAGTTACAAAATTAGTTCTAAAAACTTATGGCGGATGCCACAAGTTCGAGCTTGAAGAAGGATATATGAAAAAAATATTTTTTTGAACACAAAATAGTTTTAGGATAGCAACTGAGTATTTTGCTCTAGCTAGTAAGGGGTTGTGGATCAAGTAGTAAACAAAACCATTTTTCCTTGAAGCATCTGAGCAGAAAAAGCTTCTCAAATTCTGATAAATTGCCATTTAATAGTAATAGATTTTTAATAATTCTTTTTTATTCACATTAGTGCTTTAGACTTCTGAGAACCGTTTAAACAAGTATTATTCTTTTTTTCTCAGAACAATTAAATTTTTTAATTTCGAAGTAAAATATGTATAAATTTAATTTCATCATTTAGCCACTTTGTAATTTTAAGCTTTCTGGATTGTAATAGATTTCAAAAAGCTTCGATTAGAAACAGCTGTTCACTGAAGTTTATTTATTTGTCACTGCTAACGCAGCTGTCAATATATTTCCCCTTTAACATATCATCCTGTTATTAGACAGCTGTAGCGTCAGCGCGTTCATATATTTCCTATTTCACTTTGCACACTTATATTTATTACATATTTTTTCACTTACTTTGCGTTAAACACTGGAAACTATCCCAAAAATATATTTTTTTTTTTTTAAATTAATAGAGTACGAATAAAATATGTGTTGACAAGCTTTTACTTGTTGTGTCAAGTTCAATGTTTTATCGGCGAATGTCAAATGCACAGAAGTATAAAAGTTTTGTTTATCTCCTGATTTGAAGCAGAGAAGTATTGAGAACTTTGTGACGCTTGTAGAAAGCTTTGTTCATGTTAAATGTGCTTTTTGCGAAAATAAAAGCTACAAAAGCTTAACTGTGTGTTGTGAGTGAGAGAGCAAAAGAAAAAAAAAGTTATAATTATAAATGCATATTAGACAAAATTGCAAGGGAAGTAATTAAAATAATTGCATACACTGTAAAAAAACATATATAGCTTTAGAATAATTAAAATGATTGTCCGGATTATATTGATGTGAGAAATTTCGCTCAAATAGTCATTTGAATTCTTAGTTCTAGTAAATTATTCATTCTTAGCAAAATAAACAAATCTTAAAAATTGTTTCATAAAACTTATTATTATATTTATTATAAGAAAAATACAATATTGACCATTAAGTATTATATTAAATAGAATAGATATATGTAGTTCAAATAATTAAAAATATTTTCAGATATACATATTTGATTATATTGAAAGCAAAATTGTTTTTGTTTTTATTTGTTTGAAAATAAGCTATTCATTTGAATGGAATATATTTCAGATATACTATACGTATATGTATGTACAAATTATTTTGTAAATTAAGTTTAAATATTTTTAAATTTTAATTTATTAACAAAAAATATGCTTTAAATATTTTTTTTTTAAAAACAAAATTGATTTAGAATAATTTTTTTGTTTAAATATTTTTTTGTGTTACGTAAGCAAATTTGAATATTTCGAGACAAATTTTTGAAAAATATAAAGAATTTTTAAACAAGGAAAGTGTTGTGATAGTAAAAAATGTATATTCCACACCAGTATTTTTTAAATATAAATATATAAAACAAAATGTGCACAAGCAATGGAAGACATTTTATTTTATAAAAAAAAATTTTGTTTGCCATCAACTTTAAAAAATAAATTGATTTAGCAATTTTTTTTTAACTTTCATTAATTTTATTAAACTTTACTGTAATTATACAATAGTATAATATATATTATATATAATATAATAACGTATAATATATAGTTTTTTATTTGTAAATATAATTTTTGAAATTTCCACATTTCTATAAACATTTATCACAGTCATTAACAACACTAATGGTGGGCTTTCTTTAAGAATTCAATTGCACATCTTTCAAGTCCAAAATTTGCTCCAAATCCGGCGCTACATGGCCATTATGCTTCACAGATTTTAACCACTCAACATACCACGGTACAATGCCAGTCTCTGCTGCACCCTTCACCAAGCATTGCAAATAAGTTTTCGAAGGTTGGCGGCTAAGTGGCAGCTTATCGGTGCTGGAGAAATCGTTCAACGGTATTTTCGGTTGATCGGCCAGTAAATAAGCACGTGCAATGGCTAACGTATTATTCGACAGCATTACGGGCAAGCTGGCGGCATAGTAAATACCCTCGTGAACGCCTTCCTGGCTGTAAGGAAAAACAGTAAAAGTTAGTTTTATTGCTTAGTTAATAAAAATTAATTTTTTTAATTGATTTAAAATATGATTTAGAAAAATTAAAAAATTGTAAAGAAAATTCCGTTCCTATTTACTAATTTCAAAAATTAATTTCTTAAAAAATATAATTAAATAATTAACTTTTTATAATATTTTTAAAAAGATTTAGTTTTTTAATTCAAAAATATATATATTTTTTTAAATTGTAATATTTTTTTTTTTTAATAATATATTGTATTTAATTTTTGTGTTGTTAATTTTAACAAAAACAACACATGTTTTCTACTCACTCATCAATATCATCCAAATTGCTGAGTGATATCTCCCACAATGTGCCATAAACGTAAGCGCCAGGGGTAGGCACAATAGTCGCTGGTGCACCACCCCAACGTTCCGTGTAGGTATTAAAATCCAACCGGTAATCCTTCAATATGCCCATACCGATTTTCACCGCGGTCGGATTTTGTATATGTATGCGTTTAGTCAACATATTACTACCATAACCGAAGTAGATGAACTTATCTCCCACGCGCTCGGGTAAATCGGTTGGTATAACGTAAGCACTCGCGCAGGACCATAATGATAATGAAAATATTAGGAGTAAACTATAGTAAAGCATTTCTTTAGGTTTTAAGTTTTCAAACTACTACAGTATAGCACAATTTATTTAGGTAAATATTTTGACTGCTTTACGTCTACACACTTGGTATGTCTAATTTCGACTGTCAACACTTGAGTGACTTACAGCCGTAGGTAGCTTCGGTATAGCGATTGAAATTAATGCTAAACTTGTAGATACATATGTACGATGTCGTTGCTTTTTTTTTTTGCTTCTTTTTCATCTTTTATTTTATTCTACTTTTTTGTCATCTTGTATTTTATAATTAATATAAGTTCGACTTAGAAAAATGACCCTAGATTGATAGAATTGCTGATTTTTGCGCTACACTTGAGAAACGCTTATTGAGCTTTTGCAATATAATTTTGTATCTCATATATTTTCCCTCAGATATTACCATTTATTATAATAATTTTCTTCCGAGTTTGCTAAGTCTTTTCCAGTTTTCAGATATAAGTATTCGAACGAAAATATTACATAGAGATTATTCGAACTATATTTTTAGTAGGCTTATGAAGTACAGACAGCCGATAAGCGCTACAGAATTGACAAGTAATGTACGTTCGAAAATCAAATTGAATCGAAAAATATTTTCTTACTCCTCTCTTAACATTCCTTTCGGCTTAAATCCAAGCGCAGAAATTCGTTACGCTTTTACCTTTTTATAATTTAACCTGTATTTAATTGCTTTTCTGTTGGCCATACTTATATTATAAATGTAGGCGTAACTTGGAAATGAAAGTTAGTCTTATTTGAAAAGTAAATTATAGCTGTTCCCTATTCTCGAAAATGATATTGGCAATTTTTGCAAACTTATATAATTAGATCATTCAAATAATTTGGGAGAAACAGTTAGAGTATTCATAATATATACATATGTACAATAAGTAAAAGTTAGTAAGACGCTTACGTTTCAAAATATTTTTTTGAAGAGAAGTTGTTCATACCCAACCCCATTAGAAATATTTTTAATATCAGAAAACAGTATATAACGGGAAAAAGCTCGTCTAGAAAAGCTCAAATCAACTAATTATTCCAAACCTTCATTATTATGATAATCAAATATAGTTATATATTTAAAATATAAAGCAGTGTGCTAAAACTATTTTTAAAACATATTTTCAACTCATTAACATAAAATGTAAGTCATCTCTATATTTAATATTTTTTTTTATTGAAACCCAATACATTTTATTGAACCGAAATACATAAGTAGTTCAGGAGCAGGTTAAACAAATGTATTAACATAAGTTAATATTGATTAAATTTCTTTTAGAAAGCTAATAAATTATATATTTTACAAGGTAAATAGATATTACTGCATACAGAAAATTAAAGAGATAGGAAGGTGAAAGCTGCGGAAGTCAAATTAGTTTATTTTAATTAAGTATTCATAATATTTTTTAAAATATTATTTAAGTAGCATTCTCTTACTTTGTATCATAATAGTTGTACAATTATTTTACACAAATTAAATTATTAAATAAATATTTAAAGACCGGATTTTGCACAACAAATTTAGAAGGTGATATCTACATATATATCAATAAAATTTGCCCTATATAAAACGTTTTAAGAAAAGTAAAGAAAGTATTTAACAATAAAAAAAATTATCGCTCTTTCGCTAAAATTTCAGCAATTTAATAATATTATTGTTTGTTATTGTTTTGTACTTTGTTGTTTCGATTATCTCGCATCACTTTCGAATGGTGCCAATAATGAGGCTACAAACTGCGCACTTACTTTTTGATAGTAAATCTCCTTGATTTTTTTTTAATTTAAATTTGTGGGAGAGGTCGTCACCTATTCACGTCCAATAAAATCACATTAGATTTAATTTTATTCGGTTTGCGCGCAGCATAAATATAATGGCTGATTTAAATTTGATAAGGTGAATTTTATAAAAGATATGAATAGTTGTATGCAAGCATGTTTGTATACATATAAGGTTGTCTATTCATCTCAAACAAGCTTTACAGGGCAATTATATTGAATAATGAATATTTTGAATCAATATAATTTACAATAATCGCTTAAATCAAAATATCAAGCCAAGCCAAAAACTATAAAATAAAAGAAAAGGAAAAAATAAAGAAAAGCTATAAAAAACGTAATAAATAAAATAAAATAGACTAAAATTTAGCGAAAATAAAAAAAAATTAATATTAAATTTAATTTAATTAAATTAATTTTTTATGATTTATTTTGTCGCTGATAATAAATATGATAAGAATAATAGCGAAAAATATTGTTATCGATAATTACATCGACATAATTTTTTCTAATATTAAGAGCTTAAAAGCAAAATATAACAAATATCGGTTGAAAGTGGGCCACAATCGTATATACAATTGTTTTTTAACACAGCACCCTGTATATGCCAAATTATAGTATTTATTAGTATTTCACACATATTCGCCGTGTTCGATGCTTTTGCCACGCGAATCAGATTAAAATAGCGTTTAAATCCAATGCGTAGTTTCTTAATTGTTAATTGGTGGAAATTTTCAATACGTAATATAATTATTAAAATATTAATTTATGTACAATTTATTTGCACTTTTGCAGTATTTGAGTGATAAGAATTTCACTGATTTTACTTTTTAAATATGCGAAATACATATGTGGATGTGTCTTTATATAATTGTGCCTAAAATACGTGTTTAATATTTGGCATTAAAACATTAAGGTTTTTGGACTAGACTTACTTACTATTGAAGGACGTTTTGAATTTTATCGATTGATTGACTTTGTAATAGATTTCTGAAGCATTCAGCAATAAGTTAAGGAAAAACTTAGTTCACATGATGATAGATATTCTTCCATTCATGATCACTCTAGTTAATTCTCTTCCGTATATATTGGTCAACACTACGTATATCTCATATACATCGATTATTTTCAGTTATATATGAATAAGTCGGTTAACAAACAAAATGAAATAATGTCATGACAATTTTGGCATAGAACAAATTTAGTCAAAATAAGTGCAGGCGATCCATAGCTTCATCCAAAGCGATACAAATTTACGAGCTCAAATAAATATATTTAGATAAATTTCTCGAAATATTGTGCACTCTTCACATCCACATCCAGAGCCCGCCCGAACTTAGCTTTTCTTTATAAGTGCTGTTAGTATTTATTTAAAGATTTTTTTTTTTTAAATTTATATCTTTATATTTAAAATTCTCTTCATAGGGTGCTGATGTAAGTTTTTTTTTTTGGAATAACTCCTACAGGGTGATAAAGTAAAATGTTTTTGTTTTTAATAAAACGGGTAAATTTGTGGTAACTCTAGCTGCAACACAATTATACAACCGGTTTAGGTATATGCTAAGTGATTTCTTGCCACATTCGCTACACATAACACTTTAAAAAAATTAGCCATACCAAGGCTGTAAAAATTAGCTTCCCGAAATATCGCTTACAGAAGTTTATTTCAATATTGTTTCTTAAAAAAAATATGTATACATATTTTTTATAGAAATAACCCGTTTCTGTTCCTCTGACACAATCTGTGTTGTGTCAGCAGTTTTAACTTAGCAAATACATACTCCCTTACGTTTTCTCAATTTCCCGTTAGACATAGGTGGTTGACTTAGCTGACTGCAGTTTCTGTTAGATATTTGTGTGTGTAAATAACAGTACTGTAAGAAAATGCTTCTCAAATTAACTGGCTTGAATTAAAAGTTACAGGGCGTATGAGTGATATTAATTTCCAAAGTAGAGCGGTTATTGTTAAAATTGGTAAATTGGCACAGATTTGATGCGAAATTTAATCATTTCAATTTAAAATAACTGCAACAGTATGAAGTAACTACACAAAATTGAATAAAATATTTAATATATTTAGTTCTACTAAAATTCTAAGCTATTAGTAGCAGCTCGAACAAATTTTACGCCACTCAAGCCCACTGTGCGCGCATATGAGGCTTATATATTGTAAATAACTCTAACTTATATGGGTTCAATACTAAATAAAATTTCGAAATATGTACCAATTTATATGTTTATATTTTATGTAATGCCTATAAAGACACATGCGTTCAACATGCCCAAATAAATCACTACCCTCTTGTACACTTTAAGTCACTTATCTTATTTTTTTGCTGAACTCTCGAAACGAAAAAAATTACAACATAATGATAAATGGATTCTTGCGGTGTCACTAACGAAATTTACACTGCCAACTTTTGTCACCAAATGTCATTCGCTGGTGTAAACATTACCCTCGTGCCATTGCGGTGAAGCAATTCGGAGTCTGTTGACAAATATTTCCGATTATAAAATCACAGGCAACTGTCAGATATGTACATATACACACACATATATACATATATCTATATATTTATTATGTGTAAGCAGCACATATGGTAGGGGCACGCCGGTATTAGTAGGTGTGTAGCTTGGGGCTGGCACATATGATTGAAAGTCGGTATGTTTAAGCCGACATAATTTGGATTAGACGAGGGTTCGCAAACGTTTTTTGACTTCTTGGCACAAATTGGGTTCACTACACTGTATATATTTCATATATTTATACAATTGCGTGCTAATATATGAGTATAAAAATTTATTCTACGATTTAAAATAAAAATTTTTTTGGTTCCATATTAACGTAAAAAAACAGGAAAATTAATATAAAATGATATATGTGTGTATATGGGTCCTTCTTTAGTGAAATTTATATTGTTTAAATTTTTTATTAAAAAAAAATTATTTTGGCTCAAATAACATATAAATATTTATTAGTATACAAAATAAAGTATATTTAATTTACTTAAGTGTCTTCTTTGCCGTATTGATTGATGTTAACGCCTTAAAATATGCTTAAATAACGCACAAGTGCGTGCTTAGCTAAATTTGTCCAGAAGCAGTCATATTTCATAAACTACATATACTAAACGGCATATAAATCATACTCTAAGGAACAATGTGGTGAGTAAAATTTGATGGTAGCGTAAAGCAGTGGCAAAAAAGAGTTACACTGTAATCAATCATCGCATGCGAGTTAGTATAATACAAATATGTACATATATTTTTTTTATATGTGTATGAAAACCTCTTAATCTATATCTATATTTACGAAAAGTCGTTAATGTGTTCTGAAATGGTATTTAAAAAGA